CGAACCCGTGTTCCCTGCATCGGCAGGCAGACTCTCAACCACTGCGCCACCAGGGAAGCCCCGCGATATTTACCTTTTATATGGCAAATAAACTGACAGGAATTGGGAATAAAAAAATGAATAAGATACAGACTCATTCTCACATGAACCTTAGAGCCTATGTGAGACAGAAAACTCTTTACAAACCTATAGCAAACGAGATATTTCTGACCTATCTTGATATTTTAAAATATTAAGAATATTTTTAAAACACACCAGCAGGTAGGGAGTCATCACAATACCCATATCTGGAGAAATAGGGGAAAAAAAAACATTTTACTTTGTTCCTTTTGTTCATGCACCAGGTCAATTACAAAGCTACTCCTGAACAAACTACACCTTAATTTAATCTCATTTCGTTGATCACAAAAAATTACTGAATATTGATTTTTAAGAAGTAAACTTAACAGGTCTTAATAGTGAACAAAACCCTGATATTACACAATCAAGCCCCCACAATAATAATTCTCATTAGTACTAGCTGGGATTTACTAAGCTCTGTTCAGAATTGGGAAATATATAATAAACATCTAGGTGGACAATTACAGAGTGAAACAGCATTGTAAGTATATTAAACATATAAATTCAATCAGATACAGTTGAGAGTGGGAGGCGGGGAGAAGAGGGAAAGAGCATAGAAGAGACACACCCCATACCTTTGTCTTAGCACCCACGACAGCAAGTACACCTTAGTATAATCATCACATAATGTATTTAATAATAAGGTAATCAGGATCTCTAAATAATTTAGATCTCAGTGTGCATTACAAGTTCAAAAACTTGACACAAAGGAGAGTAGCCTCTAACTCACACTAATCAGACATACATGATGTTGTTACACAAATCATACTGTCAATTAAATTAAACGGTTGGTCCTTCCAGGTCGTTATATAAATTACACTATCAATTTATTAAATGGTCCTTCCCAATGTCAAAAAGTTTGGGACCAAGCAAGGAGCATCTGGGAAGCCACTGAGATTTGTCTTGGTTAACATTAATTCCTGCAAGTAACCAATTGGCTGGTGCATGGATTTGCTGATCTGGGTCTACTTAAGATTGAACATTTTGAATAAATAGATTATATATCTTTCTAAAAATGCTTCAAAATGTAACTTTTCCAAATGTTAGATAGGAACATTGCTAGCAAAAGCTCTATGGGCTCCTTCATGATGACTGCAAGCATATAAGCATTTAAGGATGCCAACAGATTATATCCAAGGCCTTTAATTGTATCTACTTTGCTAATTAGTTGTGATCCTACACTACAAGAGGCAAAGGAAGGCCACAGGAACAGGTCTTGGGAGAGTCAAGGTGGACTGTCCAGAGGTGACGGCTTCTAACCTACGACCCAAAAGATGAGTGGGGGCCAGACCAGCAAAGAAAAAGATAGGGAAGAGAGAGAATACAGAACACTGAAAATGGAAAACAGTTCAGAGTAGCACAGCACAGCAGTAACGTAAAAATGTAAAATATTAGCAGAGAAAGATAAACCAAGGCTGGATGACAAAGGCTTTATTATCCAAATTACCAAATTACTAAGTTTGGATTTTGTCCTAACATTGATGGGAAGTTTCAAGTAGAGACATGACAAGATCAGATTTATGTTTTTGAGGACTACAGCAGCTACAGTATAGGAAACAGATCACAAAAGGGCAGTTTTGGTATGTTTTCCAGTCCAGTATATAAGAATCTTAGAAGGCTCTACTTCCTCCTAATAACAAGTAAAAAGCTCTATAAACTGAAAAATCAACAATTCTTTTTAGATCCCTCAGAAATGTGAGATCACAGGTACCTTAATCTGTTCAGGCTGCTATAACAAAATGCCACAGACTAGGTGGTTTATAAACAACAGAAGTTCATTTCTCACAGTCTGGAGGCTGGTAAGATCAAGAGGCCAGCGTGGTCAGATGAGGACTCTTTTCCCCTGGCTGGTAACCGACACCTCCTCACTGTGTCCTCACTTACCACTATATTTCTGAAGGCCTATTTGCCACAGTTCCTGTTACCCAGTAAATCATGTCTATCAAGAAAAAACTATAAGGCATACTAAAAGGCAAACAAACATAGTTGGAAGAAAGTGAGCAAGCATCAGAACCAGAGAACCAGCAGGAAGACAGGCCAGGGAGAACAGGGAGCGTTCAGGAATGCTGGAATTATCACACCAGTAATTTTTTAAAACTATGACTAATATGCTAAGGGCTCTAATGGACAAAGTAGACAACACACAAGAAAGGGGCAACATAAGCAGAGAAATGGAAATTCTACGGCTCAAAAAGAATTCTAAGGTTGTTACAACACTATAACAGAAATAAAGAATGCCTTTATTGGGCTCATTAGCAGATTAGACATGGCTGAGGAAAGAATCTCTCCACTTAAGTATGAGTCAATAGAAACATCCAAAACGGAAAAGGAAAGAGAAAAAAAGACTGAAGAAAACAGTAAAAAAGAAAAACAAAAAGAAAAAAGAAACAGAAAAGAAAATCCAAGAACTGTGGACAACAACAAAATATGTAACATATGTGTACCTGAAACACCAAAAGGAGAAGACAGGTAGAATAGAAAAACTATCTGAAGTCATAATGACTGAGAATTTCCCCAAATTAATGTCTGACAGCAAGATCCAAGAAGCCCAGAGAACATCAAGTAGGAAAAATGCCAAAAAGCTACACCTAGGCATATCATATTCAAACAATAGAAAATCAAAGATAAAGAAAAAATCTTGAAAGTAGCTAGAGGACAAAAACACTTCACTACAGAGGCACAAAGATAAGAATTACATCGAATGACTCCTCAGAAAATATGTCAGCAAGGAGAGTAGAGTGAATCCCCATAGGAATGTTATACTACCTAGCACTGGAGAGAGTTACACATACACCAGAAAAAAAATATTAACCTAACAGCGTTACTAATGATAAAGTTCTAATTTTTCTGACCTACCTAAAGGAATTTGTGTAACATAGCTTTAAGTGAATGGCATACTTCCATCAAAAGAAAAATCCTGGGCCCATGCCACATCTAAATCTTATGTGTGCTAGTGCTTGCTTTGCCTTCTTCTAATATGAACTATATTCAAATAATGTCAGAACGCATCCTTAGCTATGTTATGTACACTCTCCCTTCTTCCTCCAGTGAATTAGTAAGACTGCTAGATGTCTTACTGGTAAGTATGAATGTATTAGCTGAACTTGCTGAGAAGTAAAAAAAAATAGCTACTAGGTTTTGTTTCAGATTAGGCAAACATCATTGTGGTACAGTGAGAGAAGAATGAGAGGAAAAATGAAGGGGGTAATTTTATTAGAAAGTGCAACAATTCACTCAATTCAATTCAACTCATTTATTCAATAAACATTCACTGCCTAGCAGGCCAGACATGGCTTTAGGAAATGGGAATGAAAACATTAAGATGGCAGTCCCTACTTCCTCAAGGACCTTAGAGTCTAGCAGGGAGAAAGAAAACTCCACATTCATTTGCTTTTCCAAAATAAGTAACACAGAATAGTTCCTGAAAGACTGATTCAAGAACTCTGGATAACATTTGCTTTCAGTTTAAATCAAGAACTTGGACAGAATAAACGTAACTAAATAAAACTAGATTAAGATAACTGATTTACTCCATCAGTAATGAAGCAGTGGCTCTAACTTATAACCATGAATGCTCATACTATATAGAACATTTAGAATCTTTTATAGAAAGGAGAGCAATCTTATAGTTATCAAAGTTAGGTTTAGCCAGGGCTAGTACTGAATCTGAGCACCATTCAATACAAACTTTCCTACATGGTAACATTTGAAAGAAAAATTAAACAATGATGTTAAGAGGCTAAAAAATGAGTAAGTTTAACAAATAACATAGATTTACTATTATTAAAATCCATATATTGGTTTTAACTCTTCAAACTTTGTAAAACAAAAAATTTGAATACATTTAAAGGCATTCCAAATTTACAAAAATTTTCATCATATAATTCGAACAGTATTTCAGTATCTTATAACCTTGGATTAATGTTTTGAACATAAATCACTGTAGAAAATAACAGATTTAAAGATGAAAGGATGTCACATACAAGCTTTATTACAAGCACTTTTTACATGAGAGCTTATCAGGGGAAACAAAAACAAAAACTATACAACAGTCTTTCAGTTTGAATTTAAGTCATAGATAAGAAAAAAAAGTTAAGGGGCTTTTTAAATGCCATTTTTAGATGCTGAAAGCACACTGACGCACCACCACATTCAATTAACATAAACTAATCTAAAGGTAAGAATGGGTAAAACATTTCACGAATAGAAAAATAACCATTACCATAATCGCTTTAGACACTGAACCCAACAACAAGCATTAGATATGGAGTCCACAAAAGAAACAGAATTAAGCCCAAGATACACTGTTATCAACAAAAGCATAATATTGAATATATACATCCCTAATTCACCCATTCCTCAAAACCCTATATCCTACAAATAAAAAGATAAATAGGAAAAGATTTTTCTAGACTCTCATTTAGCCTTCATC